GACACACAATTCCCCATCTCCACTTCATTTGTGGAAATTAGAGTCCCTAAGGATTGGCCATAGAGCTGCAGGCAGATGAGTTTAAATGCATACCTCAGGGCTAAGGTGGAGACTGAGCCATGGGTTCAGCTCACTCCAGAGGAATGGTCCCCAGATAGTTTTCCCACTTAGTCTCAAGCTCAAACTCAGTGTTTGATTACCACCAAAAGACGTAGGCGGGAAATGCAGGTGACCATTTCTTGGCCCACACACCAGTTTCCTGGAGCTCAAAGTGGCCAAGTTCTACAACATGCACCATGGCAGAACTATAGCCTGCAAACCATGGGGTGCCAAGTGGTCATTGTGAGCACTCCATGCTGCTGGACACAGACAGGGACAAAGGTCTCCAGAGCTCTGAGGGCGGCTGAGGCTTCTACTTCCACAGTACTGCTCACTGCACTGTATTATAGATATTACCTGGTCAACACCTTCCTTCCTTCCCCACTAGACTAGCAGCCCTGAGAGGGTAGGACCAATCTGAACTAGCTTAGTATTGTGTTCCCACAGCCAGGCACCTAATAGGTGTTCAATAAAACTGGCTGAGAAAACAAACTCATCTCTCATTACAACCCTACAGAAAGTATGTGGGCTGCAAAATCCTTCTGAAACATGAATGGCTCATTCCTAATTTATCTGAAATTCACTTTTCAGGTGTGCCTGTGTGACTGACCTCACAGGAACCCACTACCATCTTGTGTGTGAAACATAGCCAGTGTTTCGTGTAGATGAGTGCCATCCCATGGCAGTTGGGGTTATGGAATAAGGTCCTCTTGTTTGGATTCCTGTTTGTCTTTAAGCCATCTTGAGCCACTCACTCCTCTCCTGTCCAAGCCTCCTGTCACATTCGCTTTCTTCTGTTCCTTAAATGGACAATCATCTTCGCACCTCAGATCCCTGGCACATGCTGTTCCCTCAGCCTGATGCACCCTTTCTTCACACTCTACCTCTAGATGAGAAAACCTCAGCTGGAATGTCCCCTTCTCCATAAAACCCTTGCAACCTGCCCTGCTTTCATAGCCCACCACCTTCCCTTCCTCACACATCTCATATTCTTGTCTAAATTCAGTTATTCATCATCTGCCTTCTCCCCTCTACTGTCATGTCCACAGGAGCAGGCATGTCAGTCCTGGTCACTGTGGGCTCCCCAGAGAAGGGCTCAGGTGTTGCATACACAGCTGTTGGATACATGCTAGCTGGGGCTGGACTTCATCTGAGCTGGAGATAAGAGTTATCTGGCACACAGGCTTTGGGTACCGAGGCTGGTCATGCTTATCAAACTAACCAGCTAGTGTGTCCTGTTCCGACTTTACCCAGTTATCAAAGAGCAGATCAAGCATGAGGCTTCCTCCCTCAGCTGCCTAGCAAAATGGCGGGGGGGACTTCTTAAGCAAGATGATGACCAAGGGTTTAAAGAGTTTTTCAATTGACTTAACTGTCCAATCCATAGTTGGAATTTTGTCCTATACACATTCATGGTGTTCCTAGTTTGTGCTGAGATGGAAAGTGACTGGACCTAAGTGTCACCTCTGAGAGCGACTGGGCAAGGGGGAGAGACAGGCGAGTGCTGAAGTCATTCAGATCCTGGGAGATAAATGTCATGAAGGTGCAGCAGATTCCCAGGATGCTACAGCCCTGTTGACTTCCCTGAAACCCATGGAGATAAAAAGATCCAAAAAGGAAATCCAATGACAGTTAATGAGTCCTGCCATGTTCATGTGCCTGGGATCAGGTGCAAGACACAGGGGAAACTGCCTCACATGCCCTGGGCGAGGGCAGGGTGCCATGGAGGGAAGCAGGTGCAGGACATTACTCTTGGGGATGGATTGGGTCTAACCCATCTGTCCGTCTGTAGCTGTGAGCACAGTTTCCAGCACCCACTGGGGGCTGATGAATGTCTGGGGTAGGAAAGGACTTGGACAATATTTCTTGGTCACCCCTGGGTCAGACTCAGTGCAGAGACCAGGAAGGCATGGGTCCTGCCTGGCAGAACAGCTGAACAAAGCTACAAGGCTGTGGTTCAAAGAGACTTTGGTTATTGCTCATTTTATCTTCAGTGACCACACACTGCTTGGCACACAGTAGGTACACAAAAATACCTGTGATTCAAATGAAAGCATGGTGCCCATAGTTCAAGAAAAAGATTGAAATGGGCATTGTGGGGGGAGAGAGTTCTCCTCGACCAAGCACCTACTGCGTGCCAGGCTCTTTACACACATTGTGTCTCTTCTTATCATTCAGCCCCATTTCATAAAAGACAAAGTGAGGCCCAGAGAGACCAAGCCACTTGTCCAGGGTCACAGCGCCCCCTCCAGGCAGGGCTGCAAGATGCAGCTGAACTGAGACCTTGGGCTCCACTCTATCTCCTGGCTTACTATTGACCCTCTTCTGTGACCTTAGCCTTATATGCTGACCTTTCTGGGCATCCAGAAGCAGCAACAAAAGCTCTTTCTCCTTAGTTCTAAATTCATTTCTTCGTTGAACATCTGTTTCTGTGATGTCCTTTCCAGACTTGAGTTGTGCCAGGAAATCCCAACAGATTGCCCCCACATTCTGGGTCTTCCAGTGCACCAGTGGGCTAGAGCTTAGAGGAGAGTGTTTTCGGGACCCTCAGTCCAGGCCGGCCCCTCCTTCCAGCCCACTCTCCCTCGGGCTCCAGAGGGCTGGATCCAAGGTCCTCCAAGTCCCTTCACATTGTGACCCCGTCTGACTTCCCAGCCTCCCCCGACCCCATCCTGGGCACTTCTCCATGCCTTTGCTCACGCTGGTTCCTCTGCCTGCCGTTCCCTCCCTGACGCCGTGTGCTGGGGACTGTTCATTCTTCAGAGTTCAACTCAGATACCACCTACCTCTTTTCTCGTCTGCACTGTAAGGTCTCACAGCACTGTGCATATCCTTCCTTCACTGTTTTCTTTAATGCATTTTATTGAGTATTTATTGTTCCATTTAATTCTTACCTTTCTGGGTGCTGGGAACACAGCATGCTCCCAGTGAGATGCCATCTCTGCCCTCAGGAGGTCTGTCGAAGTCTAGTGGGAGACACAGACCCATAACCAGGTGATGACCGCACCATGTGATGGGGGACTTCAGGGCAAGCTAGGAGTCAGAGACCCCAAGTCTGGGGTCCAGGGATGCAGGATAGGCTTTCTGGAGGGTGGCATGTGACCTGAGACTGGTTGATTGAAGCAGATGGGAGTGGGGCATGAGGGATGCAGTGGGACCTGGGGATGAGAGAGTCTGGTACTCTCAAGAAATTGAACGTGCTCCCATCTCATTTTAGCCTAGAGATGCAAAGTGGGGGTGCTGTGTTGGAAGAGGGAGAGGCAGCTGAGAGACGAAACTGGAGAGGCTAACAGGGACCAGAGTTTTGGCTGCAGGGAAGCATCTGGGACTAGGGAGCCATGGCTGGTTCCAAGCAAGGAGTGGGGGATGTAATGTGCTTTGTTTAGCAGGATCCCTCTGATGTTGTGTAGGAAGCAGGTGTAGAGGTCAGAGCCAAAGCAGAGAACTGAATCAGGAGGGATGTATAGTGGGTTAAAATAGTGTTGCTCAGAAATGCATGTCCACTTGGAACCTCAGAATGTGACCTTGCTTGAAATAGGGTCTTTACTGGGGCGCCTGGGTGGCTCAGTCGTTAAGCGTCTGCCTTTGGCTAGGGTCATGATCCCAGGGTCCTGGGATCGAGCCCCGCAGCATCGGGCTCCCTGCTCAGCGGAAGCCTGCTTCTCCCTCTCCCACTCCCCCTCCTTGTGTTCCTGCTCTCCCTGTGTCTCTCTCTGTCAAATAAATAACTAAATAAATCTTAAAAAAAAAAAAAAAAGAAATAGGGTCTTTACAGGTGTAATTAGATAAGGATCTCAAGATGAAATCATCCTGGGTGTTGAGCTCCTAAATGCTGGTGTCTAATGACTGGTGCCCTTATAAGGAGAGGAGAAGACATACAGACACAAGGAGAAGTTCATGTGAAGACTCAGGTAGAGATGGGAATGATGCAGTCAAGGTTATTGGCAGCCACCAGAAGTCGGGAGAGAGGCATAGGGCTGATCCTCCCTCAGAGCCTCCAGAAGGGACTACCCTGCTGACACCTGGCCTCCAGAACTGGGAGAGAGCATATTTCTGGTTTTTTAAGCCACCCAGTTTGTGGCAATTTGTCTCCTCAGCCCCAGGAAACTAATTCAAGGGCGGGTGCTGTCTTCTAGGTCATATGTGCTCACACCAGGCGGGGGGTCTGGACGTGAGAACACGAGGAGGGAGGAGAGTAGACACTGAGCTGCACTGTGGCCCGAGAGCAAGGCAAGCCTGGTTGCTGGTGGCCTGACACCTTGGCACTGCCCCCTCCCTCCCTCCTCAGTCCTCAGCCTGGGGCAGCCTGGGCCCAGAGCAGGGCCATGCTTTAGAGATCCCATCTCTGACCCCGCACCTCTGCTTCTGCGGAGGCCAGACAGCAGCCCCTCTTCTGGACCACTCCCAGGGGCTGGGACCCAGGGTTTCCCCACCCAGCTCTGGGAACCTGTGCTGTCCTCTCTGGGATGGCCCAGGGGTGCCTGTTTGTGGGGTGTGGATGGACTTGAGCTTTGAGAATGCAGTGTCCTTAGGCCAGCATGCATGAGAACAAAGGAGTATGCTCAGAGAGTAGGGGAGGGGCTCCAGCCTCCTTTTGTATTCCTTCCCCTGTCCAGTTAGAGGCAGTCTTGTCTCCTCCTTCTCCTGCCTTAACCATCTTCTGCACAGCCCGGCTGGGAGGCCTCAGGAAAGGTCTGGAGGCTGCATGTACTGCTCTGGGCTAATCTCAGGGAAGCCTCTGGAAGTCTCCCTGAGGCCCACCCCTGCCCCGCCTGACTTGAGCCCTGAGGATGGCCCCGCCCACAACCTGCCTCTGCTGCCCACCTCCCCTCGGAAGCCTTTGGAATACCACTGGAGTACCGCTAGATAAAGCGCAGGCGCAGCCTCCCGCCCTGCCCACCCCTCTTCTGAGCTCCCGGTGTTGAGTGTGAGTGAGGGGACCCAGGGCTTCCTCTGCGACGCCCCCAGACAGTTCCCCGCCGCCGCCACCAACGGAGGCGAGTGTGCGCCCCTGGGTGCTTTTCAGGAGGAGGTGATGCAAGCGCGGGATGCGGGGAAGGACTGTGGGTGATAAGAATGTGGGGGTGGATCTTGGGACCCAGAACCCCGCTGAAGGAAGTTTGAAGGAAACAGTTCCTGGGCGGATGCCTCTAATTCAGGAATCGCGCATCCAGGTCCTGTGTGCTTCCTGGTCATCGCTGCGATCTTACGGTGAAGGGTATCTGTCAGGGACACCGGCGGTAGTCACCATCTTCCTGCTTCTGCTGTGTCGTGCTGTGAGAGTGTACGTCTGTGTGCACCTGCGGGGGTGCCTGTGGCCGCGACTCTGCAGTTGTGTGGGTGGGTCCATCCCCGCGGCGGGGTCTCCGCCTCCGTGTGAGTGAGCGGGTCTGATCCTGAGCGCAGGTGCATTTGGGCCTGCTGTGTGCCTGTCTGGTGTAGAGCTTAAGGCAGCTGCGCCTGTGTGTGTGGGGGTGGGGTGGGGTGGGAAGTGGAATGCAGGTATGTGGAGGTGTGGGGGCACACCCACATGTAGGTGTTCGTGAGACACAGGGGGCACCCAGATGCCAGTCTGTAAGAACCGGAGGCCGCCTACCCCTGAGGAGAGCTGTTCTGAGGTGCCTCCCCTTCTGCTCTCACACACACCTGGCGGAGGCTCAGTGGCTGCCCTGGAAGGCACAGGAAGGCTTAAGGGCAGGTGGTGGGTTCTTCCTTCCTGATCTCCTCTCTGGCCCTAGGCACTCACTCTCTTCCTTTCTGGGGACAGGCTGGGCTGTGAACCAAGGGGGAGACAGCACAGAGGTAGAGGAAGACCAAGGAAGGTACGTTTTCCTTTCTAAAAAAAAATGGGACAATTTCACATAATACAAAATTAATCATTTTGAAGTTACAAATCATTGGCGTTTAGCACATTCACAATGCTGTGCAACCATCACCCCTTTCTAGTTGCCAAATATTTTCATCACCCCAAAAGGAAACACTACCTTCATTAGTAATCACTTCCCCATTGCCCCCTGCCCAGGCTCCAGCTTCCCCCCAACCCCTAATATGCTTGTTGTGTCTACAAATTTGCATATTTTAGGTATTTCATATTACTGGAATCAGACAACCTTTCGTGCCTGGCTTTTTTTCACATAGCATGATGTTTTCAAGGTTCATTTATGATGCCACATGTGTTCGTACTTTGATGTGTAAAAAACACATGACATAAAATTTATTATCTTAACCATTTTTAAGTATGCAGTTCCGGTGGTGTTAAGGATATTCACATTGTTGTGTAATAGATCTGCAGAACTCTTCATCTTGCAAAACAGAGACTCTATACCCATTAAACAAAACTTGCAGTTTCCCACTCCCTGTAGTCCTCGGCAACCTCCATTCTACTTTGTTTCTATGAATTTGACTGCTTTAGATACCTCACATAAGTGGGATCATACAGGATTTCTCCTTTTTGGGGACTAGCTGATTCCACATAGCATAATGTTCTCAAAGTTCTTTCGTGTTGTGGCATGTGACAGGATTTCCTTCCTTTCAAGGCTGAATGCTATTCCATTGTATGGATATATCACATCTTGTTTATCCATCCATCCACCAATGGACATTGGGGATGTTTCTACCTCAAGGCTATTGTGACTAGTGCTTCTATTTGCACAGGTGTGTGCAAAAATCTCTTCCAGACCCTGCTTTTGCCACTTTTGCATATATATCCGGAAGTGGGATGGCTGAGGCATAGGTAGTTCTATTTCTAATTTTTTGAGGACCATTCATACTGTTTTCCATAGCTATTGCACGACTGTGCAATCCCACCAACAATGCACAGAGTTCTAATTTCTCTACCTCCTTGCCCTTTTAAATGGCACAGCTCAGTGCCATTTAACCATTCACAATATTGTGCCACAAACACCTGTATTTAGTTCCAAGAGATTTCACCACCCCAGAAGGAAATCTGCAACCCATTTAACAGTCACTCCCCATTGCAACTCCTCATTGGAACTCCTGTTCCCTGGCAACTGCTAATCTGCTTTCTGTCTTGATGCGTTTACCTATTCTGGATATTTCAAATACATGAAATCATACAATATGTGGTCTTTGTGGCTGGTTTCTTTCACTCAGCATATTGTCTTTGAGGTTGATCCATGTTGTAGCATGTTCAGTACTTCATGCTTTTGTATGCCTAAAAGATATTCCATCATATGGATACCACTTTCTGTTTATCCATTCATCTGTTGGTCCATCCTGCATTTTTTTAAAAGATTTTTTATTTATTTATTTGACAGAGGGAGGCACAGCGAGAGAGGGAACACAAGCAGGGGGAATGGGAGAGGGAGAAGCAGGCTTCCCGTGGAACAGGGAGCCGGATGCGGGGCTCCATCTCAGGACCCTGAGATCATGACCTGAGCTGAAGGCAGATGCTTAATGACTGAGCCACCCAGGCGCCCCCATCCTGCATTTTTTGCATCAAGTCTGTCGATAGCAGAGAAAGGAAGAAAGATAGAAAGACAGAGCAGTAACACTGGATGGAGCAGTTGCTTGGAAGGAGAGCTGTCCTCACGGGGAGCTGGGGCAGATGTGAGTCAGTTGCCACTCAGGGAAGGATATGAGAGAACCCACAGCTGCGAGCCTTGGTTGCTCCACAAAGCAGGAGGTTGGGGATAGGAGAGTGGGTAGGGATTGAGGAGAGGGAAGGAGATTCAGAGAAGAGCATCGGTGAGTGACCAGAGATAGAGTGCCCAGCAGGGGTCAGAGAATGTGACTCTGGTAATGCTGGTCGGTGCCACATCCTTGTGGGGGACTCACGCAAGTTAGACCACACAACAACAATAGTAGCTAAGAGCTGAACGGGCATCACCTCACCTTAGTGCCACTACAGCCCTGTGGAATGAGGATGATTATTCCATGTTCCCAGTGAGCCAGTGAGGGATAATGCTGAGAATTAACCAGAGCCTACATCCTCTCCATGCCACACAGGAGAGGTGACCTCCAGCTGAAGATAGCAATCAGGGAGTCGCTTGCACTTAAAATTCAGGAAGGATTTGGTATCACAGAGATGGAGAGAAGCATGGAGTGGCCAGCATGCTCAAAGGCAGGAAAGCCGGCTGGTCATGCATGGAGTCAATGACAGTAATAACAGTAGTTGTAATTATTATTATCAGTATTATTTTTTACAGCATTCTTACTATGTGCCAGGGCCTGCATTACGCAATTGAGGCTCACGATCTTCCGTGAACCCCAAGCAGCTCCGAGGATCACTGACAGTCATGATGAGCAGCAGGTCATGGAGGGACTGGCCGTGGTGTGGGGGGTGAGGGCCCCCCACCCCTGGGGAAGTCCTCCTGGGCCGGGCTCAGCATGGACCCAGAACTCGTGCCCACCAGGCCGCCTTCCCTCTCTCCCACCCAGTGATGGCCACCACTCTGGGCCTAAACCACAGCTCCATGTCTGAATTCATCCTCGTGGGCTTCTCCACCTTCCCGCCACATCTCCTGCCCGTCTTCTTCCTGCTGTTCCTGCTCATGTACCTGTTCACCCTGCTGGGGAACCTGCTCATCATGGCCACTGTGTGGAGCGAACGCGGCCTGCACACGCCCATGTACCTCTTCCTGTGTGCCCTGTCCATCTCCGAGATTCTCTACACCTTGGCCATCACTCCACGCCTGCTGGTGGACCTGCTCTTCACCCACCGCACCATTGCCTTTGCGGCTTGTGTCAGCCAGATGTTCTTCTCCTTCACATTTGGCTTCACCCACTCCTTCCTGCTCACCGTCATGGGCTACGACCGCTACGTGGCCATCTGCCACCCCCTGCGCTACAATGTGCTCATGAGCCCCCGTGGCTGTGCCTGCCTGGTGGCCTCGTCCTGGGCTGGTGGCTCAGTCATAGGGCTGGTGGTGGCCACAGCCATTTTCCACCTCACCTTCTGTGGACCCAATGAAATCCAGCATTTTTTATGTCATGTACCCCCTCTCTTGAAGCTGGCCTGTGGAACTGATGTACCAGTAGTAGCCCTGGGTGTGGGGCTGGTGTGCATCACCAACTTGTTGGGTTGCTTTCTCCTCATCCTCCTCTCCTACACCTTAATTGTGGTTGCCATCTTGAAGATCCCCTCTGCTGAGGGCCGGCACAAAACATTCTCCACCTGTGCGTCCCACCTTATTGTGGTCATTGTGCACTATGGCTTTGCGTCTATCATCTACCTCAAGCCCAAGGGTCTGCACTCCCACGAAAGCAACACCCTGATGGCCATCACCTACACGATCCTCACACCCTTCCTCAGTCCCATCATCTTCAGTCTCAGGAACAAGGAGCTGAAGACTGCCATGAAGAAGACCTTCCTCAGCAAACTCTATCCCTCCAGCATCTAAGTGGCCAGTGTGAAGGTGGTTTCAGAAGAAGGTAGAAGGATGACCATACCCTCACCTGTACGATGGGGTTTACAATGTCTGCCTAGTAAGATTGGTAAAAAGATGTGTGACAACACCCAAGACAGCAGGAGCTCAATAAATGTGAACTTTTCTTCTTCTTCCTCCCTTGGTTTGTGTCTTGGCTATTAGTTTTATTTGTAATCAAACAGCTTTCTTGAGATATAATCCACATGCCATATAATTCACCCATTTAAAGTACACAATTCAGTAGGTCTACAGTGTATTCAGAGTTATGTGATCATCACCACCATCAATTTGAAACATTTTTGTCACCCAAAAAGGAAACCCCTACCCATTCAGTCCCCATTTCTTCCCCAACTCCCATAACCCCCAGCTATAGGAAACCACTTTTTTTCAGAATATGTTTTAATTTTTTAAAATTGAAATATAGTTGCCATACGATGTTATATTAGTTTCAATTGTACAACATAGTGATTTGACGCCACACAATGCTATTATAATACCTTTGACTACATTCCCTATGCTGTACCTTTCATCCCCGTGACTTACTCATTCCACTTTGCCTGTTCTGAACATTTCATATAAATAGAATTACACTAGGTGCCCATTTTGACTGAGTGCTCTCGCTTAGCACAATGTGTTCAAGGTTCCTTCATGTTGTGGATGTATGAGATGTTCATTCCTTTTTATTGCCAAATACTATTCCATTGTGTGCACATACTGTGTTTCTTTCTTTTTTTTAATTTAAATTTTAGTTAGCTAACATACAGTGCAATATTGGTTTCTGGAGTAGAATTCAGTGGCTCATCACTTACATCACTTACATACAACACCCAGTGCTCATCACAAGTGCCTTCCTTAATATTCACCACCCTCCTAGCCCATCCCTCACCCACCTCCCTCCATCAACCCTCCGTTTGTTCTCCATCATTAAGAGTCTCTTATGGTTTTTTTCCCTCTCTCCCTTTTCCCTCTTCCCATACCTTCATGTGTTTTTTTTCTTAAATTCCATATACGAGTGAAATCATATGGTATTTGTCTTTCTCTGAGTGACTTATTTCACTTAGCGTTAGCTCCATCTTGCAAATGACAAGATTTCATTTTTTTGATTGCTGAATAATATTCTGTTGTATATATCTATACCTTATCCGTTCCTCACTCATTGGACATTGGGGCTCTCTCCATAGTTTGGCCATTGTTGATAATGGGACATAACTATATTTCATCTGTCCGTTTATTGCTTGCTGAACTTCTCAGTATTTCTACTTTTTGCTATTTTGAATAATGCCACTAGGAATGTTTGTGTACCCTTTTTTCTTGAATATATGGTTTCACACTCCTGCATGTATACTATGGAGTGGATTTTTTTGATCCAATGGTAACTCTATGTTTAATTTTTAAAGAAAGTTCCAGACTGTTTTCCAAAGTGGCTGCACCCCTCTATATTCCCACCAGCCTCGAAGTAGGGTTCAAATTTCTCCACATCTTTGCCAACATTTGTTATTACCTGTCCTGTTACTTATAGCTATCTGAGTGGTAAGAAGTGGTATCTCATGGTGGTTTTGATTTTCATTTCTCTGATAAGTAATGATGTTGTGCATCTCATCACATGCTTGTTGGCCATTTCTACGTGTTCTTGGAGAAATGCTGTTGAGATATTTCACCTGTTTTTTAAATTGGCTTGTTTGTCTTTTTGTTGAGTTGTAATAATTCTTCATAGTTTCTAGTTATAAGGCCCTTATCAGATAGGTGAGTTTCAAGTATTGTCTCACATTCTATAAGTTGTCTTTTCACTCTCTTGTTGGTATTCTTTGCAGTACAGAAGATTTTAATTCTGATGACATCCAATTTATGTATTGGTTTCCTTCATTGCTTATGGTTTTGGTGTCATGTCTAAGAAATGATTGCTTAATCCAAGGTCATGGAGATGCTCAGCTATGCTGTCCTCTAAGAACATTATAGTTTTAGCTCTTACATTTAGGCCTTTGCTCCATTTTGAATTAATTTTTGTACATAGCATGAAGTAGGGGCTGAATCTTAGATTTGACTGGTTCAATGTGGTTGCAATTTCCTTGAAAATGACCCTGTATGAACTGCCATCAAATCCCCAGACCTGTGATTACATAGTGGGGAAGGGGGAGTCACCACACACATGTGTGGGCATATACATTATTCAGATGCAATCAGCAAACAGTAATATTATTTCCAGCTCTTGGGTTGCTGGTACAGCAATGGTAAAAACTAATAATAGTCATCATGTCAGTATATACAATATATTGGGCATTATACGATATTCAGCACTTTTAATATAGCATCTTTTTATTCTTAAAAACCTGTAAAAAAAAAAGGGAAAAAGGGCAATTTGTGCCAGCAAAAAAATGGCTTGTTATTTATAATTTCCCAATGCCTTTGAAATCATAGGTATAGACTTATTTCTGAGTGCAGCATTTGGTATGAGAATGCAGGGGAGGGGAGGGAAGAGAGAGAGAAATTTCTGTAAGTTAGCAGTGGAACAGAGAGAGGCATCTAGGCAAGGAAAGGAAAGAAGTGGTGACGGCATCTGATAGGGCTGCAAGCTCTGCTGGGTGGGGAAGGGAACAGCGGAAGAAAGGTGAAGATCTTATTGCTGGTAGTGATAGTGTCTTTTTTTTTTAATTTAATTTTATTGTGTTATGTTAGTCACCATACAATACATCATTAGTTTTTGATGTAGTGATCCACAATTCATTATTTTCGTATAACACCCAGTTCTCCATGCAATACATGCTCTCCTTAATACCCATCATGGGGCTAACCCATCCCCCCACACCCTCCCCTCTAAAACCCTCAGTCTATTTCTCAGAGTCCATAGTCTCTCATGGTTCATCCCTCCCTCCGGTTCCCCTCCCCCTTCATTTTTCCCTTCCTTCTCCTAATTTGTATGTCTTCTTTGAAGAAGTGTCTGTTCATGTCTTTTGCCCATTTTTTGACTTGATTATTTGTCTTTTGGGTGTTGAATTTGAGAAGTTCTTTATAGATCTTGGATACCAGCCCTTTGTCTGTAGTTTCATTTGCAAATGAACTTTTGGGACTTCATCAAGATAAATGTTTCTGCACAGCAAAGGAAACAGTCAACAAAACAAAGAGGCAACCCACAGAACAGGAGAATATATTTGCAAATGACATACAAATGGCTAACCGACACATTAAAAAATGTTCATCATCATTAGCCATCAGGGAAATTCAAATCAAAACTACATTGAGATATCACCTTACACCACTTAGAATGGCAAAAATTGACAAGGCAAGAAATAACAAATGTTGGAGAGGTTGTGGAGAAAGGGGAACCCTCTTACACTGTTGGTGGGAATGCAAGTTCGTACAGCCACTTTGGAAAACAGTGTGGAGGTGCCTCAAAAAATTAAAAATAGAGCTACCCTATGACCCAGCAATTGCACTCCTGGATATTTACCCCAAAGACACAGATGTAGTGAAAAGAAGGGCCATATGCACCCCAATGTTCATAGCAGCAATGTCCGCAATAGCCAAACTGTGGAAGGAGCCGAGATGCCCTTCAACAGATGAATGGATAAAGAAGATGTGGTCCATATATACAATGGAATATTACTCAGCCATCAGAAAGGATGAATACCCAACTTTTACATCAACATGGATGGGACTGGAGGAGATTATGCTAAGTGAAATAAGTCAAGCAGAGAAAGTCAATTATCATATGGTTTCACTTACTTGTGGAACATAAGGAATAGCATGGAGGACATTAGGAGAAGGAAGGGGAAAATGAAGGGAGGGAAATCGGAAGGAGAGATGAACCATGAGAGACTATGGACTCTGAGAAACAGACAGGGTTTTAGAGGGGAGGGGGGTGGGGGGATGGGTTAGCCCGGTGATGGGTATTAAGGAGGGCACGTATTGCATGGAGCACTGGGTGTTACACGAAAACAATGGATTGTGGATCACTACATCAAAAACTAATGACGTATTGTATGGTGACTAACATAACATAATAAAATTTAAAAAAAATAAAAAACAAACAAACAAAAAAAACTAATGATGTATGGTGACTAACATAACATAATAAAACAACATTTTAAAAAAAGGAAATAGAAACAATTATTAGAAATTATTATAAACAACTATATGCCAACAAACTGAGCAACCTGGATGAAATGGATGCCTTCCTGGAAACCTATAAACTCCCAAGACTGAAACAGGAAGAAATTGACAACCTGAATAGGCCAATAACCAGTAACGAGATTGAAGCAGTGATCAAAAACCTCCCAAAAAACAAGAGTCCAGGGCCTGATGGGTTCCCTGGGGAATTCTACCAAACATTCAAAGAAGAAATAATACCTATTCTCCTGTAGCTGTTTCAAAAAATAGAAACAGAAGGAAAGCTTCCAGACTCATTCTATGAGGCCAGCATTACCTTAATCCCCAAACTAATGATGGTGTCTTTAGGGAAAGAGAGAGCTGATGGCTCAGAGCCTGGTGAAGCAGGTGATGCAGAGAACACAGGTGTTAAAGTCATTTTAGAAGGAGTTTCCCCATGACATCAATTGTAAGGTTTCTTCCTTATCTGCATATGAAACCTCTAGTAATGCATCATTGCCATGACCTTGCTGAACTGCATCCATCTGGTGAACACCTCTCTACTGGATCTCACTTGAACGTGGACACAGGAGGAAAGTCTCCATTCCTTGGGAGTCTATTCCTCTTCACATTATCTCACCCCGAATTAGAGTAAAGAACAGAAATGCAAAAGGGGGCTTCATCCATGCAGCAAGTGAAATTCCCTCAAACAACCTGGTCCTTCGGGGCAGGCAATCAAACCAACCAGGACAGAAGAAATGTAGGTGGTATTTCCAATGTGCAGTTGTCACTACCTCTGACTCCAGCCACTCTTACTTGGGAAGCTTCATAAAGTAGCAAAGCAATATCTAGTGCCCTGGTTCCCATGTCTTGAATGAATCTTTTTCTCAAAATTCTGCTTTTTATCTGTATTTTGAAAGTTGTGTTCTCCTTTGCTACGTAGTACCCTTTTCTCCCCAATTACCCAACTTTTTTAAAATTTAAATTCAGTTAGCCAACGTACATTACATCATTG